CGGGAGGTACCTGGAGGCGTGGCAAGGCCAGCGCATGTAGAGCCCTCCGCGTGCCCGCCCCCCCCAGCTTCCTGGAGCGGCCCAGGGCCAGGGCAGACATGCAGGGAGCCTGCCTTGGCTCTGGCGCGCACTGCTGCCACCCCGGAGCCTGAACCCTTCCTGCACCCTGCCTCCCCAACTCCCTGCCCTAAGTCCTCTGCCTGCACCTCACACCCCTCCTGCACCCCAACTCCCTTGCCCTGAGCCCCTTCCTGCACACTGCACCTCCTCCCACACCCCGCTCTTCCTCCTGCACCCCAACCCCTGGCCCTGCATGCAATTTCCCCACCCAGATGTGGCCCTTGGCCCAAAAAGTTTGCCCACCCCTCCTCTAAGAGTGCGTTTTCACAGGCAACAGTGCTCTAAAAAACCCACCTCCCCGAGGGGCATAGCTACCAGTGCTGGTGAAACTTGCAGCACTCAGAGGGGTGTTTTTTCACCCCCCAGAGTGAGAAAGTTGCAGCGCTGTGAAGTGCCAGTGTAGACAAGCCCTTAGTCTTGCTGTCTCATTGTCTTTCAGAAGTTTCGCTAAGTATTCATGTCAAAATAGACCTATAATTCAAACTGACGTGTTTCTCACTACAAACATAATTTTTAATATGGAATTTAACAGTGATGAGAGAGAACTTAGCAGTAATAGAGCAAGATTTTAAACTGTTAGCTCAGGGGTGGGCAAACTTTTTGGCCTGAGGGCTGCATCGGGTTTCATAAATTGTATGGAGGGCCGGTTAGGGTAGGGGGTTGTGGCCCTGTCCACCTGGACTCCTGCCCCATCCAACCCCCTGTGTTCCCTGACAGCCCCCCTGGGACTCCTGCCCCATCCACATCCCCCCGCTCCCTGTCCCCTCACTGTCCCCGGACCCCTGCCATCCCATCCAACCCCTCCTCTCATTCCTGATTGGGGGTCCCCCCCCCGGACCCCTACCCCATCCAACCACCCCTTCTCCCTGTCCCCTGCCTGCCCCTGGAACCCCTGCTCCTGACTGCCCCCTGTTCCCCCCAACCCTATCCACACCCCTGCCCCCTGACCCCCTCCTGACCACCACCCTGAACTCCCCTGCCCTCTATCCAATCCCCCTACCCCCTTACTGTGCTGCCTGGAGCACTGGTGGCTGGCGGCGCTACAGCCGCACCACCCAGTTGGAGCTGGGCCATGCTGCCGCT